ATCATGTGTGAACTCTTCAATGGCATTCTGCGTCCTCATTCGCTGATGCCTGCATTCTGGAAATTTACCATGTACTACATCACACCGTTCACGTATTGGATTGGAGGTGTCCTCACTGCCGTGTTGAGAGGTACTCCCGTGGTTTGCAAGCAAAATGAATTAACTATTTTTGAGAGCCCACCGAACATGACATGTGGTGAATATGCAGGGCCTTGGCTGTCTTCCAAGGGGGTTGGATACTTGTCCAACCCGGACAGCAGCGGAAAGTGCGGCTATTGTGAATATAGCTGGGGTGATGATGTGAGTCCCAAATATTCCACACTATAAATGGATTATAGAGCTAACGAGCGATGTAGTATCTCTCTGGGATTGGCCTGGACTCCTCGAAGATCTGGCCGTATTTCGGGATCTTCCTCACATTCACCGTCTCGAATTACCTGATGGTCTATCTTCTGGTTTACGTACGCTCTGTCATGAAGCCCTTCTGGCGTTCATGAGATCAACCTGTAATTAGCTTGGTATTCAGCATCTTGCATGGATATATTGGAGCCTAAACGTCTTTCATATAGATAGGAAACCAGTCATAAATGCGCTAACCGTATCAGGTAACTCCGAAGATCGGATTTAATGCCAAAACGGCCTCATCTCCGACTTGCTGACAGGCTCTTAAAGACCAGCTCGATCAGATAAGAAGAAACTGTTTCTTCTTTCTTGCCTGTGCGGAAATTATTAATAGTCAATCATCTTGGTTTGTCGTTCGTCAATCATGGCCGACCAGCAAGACAACGCAGAGCTGCGACTCCCCCAGCGCAGGCGGCGCCCCCCATTGTCTTGTACGGAATGCAGGCGGCGCAAACTAAAATGTGATCGTTCACTGCCTTGTGGACAATGTGTTCGCTCTAAGACTGCAGACGGCTGTAACTTTGTCGGTCCACAGCCAGGGCCTGTGACTTATTCCGAGCATCGCATGTCGCCCCCTTTATCGCGGATGCGAGGTTCGAACGACCAGGCTGCGGGCGCTGGCATGTTCGTTTTTGACTCCAAACTTGGGCCAAAATCAAGTTCCAATCGCGTGACAAAGCGCAGTCGCCCAGATGACCAGCACGAGTTGCGTGAGCTGCGACACCGCCTCCATATCTTGGAGAATGCATTGGGGAGGCCACCGGCGCTCCAGACTCCCGAAACGTCGGTCTGTGACGTCTTCTCAGAGGTCGGGACGGCTCGTAGCAATGAGACTGCAGGAATTGATGACCGTGTCCGATACTTGCCGGATGTGTCTTTCCGGGGGAAAAAGGGCAAGGCTCACTATTGTGGGCGCAGCCATTATGTCACTTCAATGTCGTTTGTGAGTAGGCCCGAGAAATGATATTGAACGTCAAATCTAACTGGGCATAGTTTCAAGATGTTGGGACCTTTTTGCACCATGGCCGGAAGACTAAGGGCAAGTGCTCAGAGTATACTGATATGAAGCAGTTCAAAAGGGGCCTCCGGTCCCAAGAGAGTCAGGATCATCAGCATGCCTTTCGTGAACAAACCTTTAAGCTAGAAGAGATGGTTCCACCGCGAAACGTGGCGGACCGGCTACTGCAGCTGTATCTGGAGACCTTTGAGACTACCTACCGAATCCTGCACGTACCAACTTTTGTATCGGTGAGTGGTGCCAAAACGCTCCCGGGGTGGTCCTGTCGATCTCAATAAATGGAGCGACACTCCCCGTTAGGAGGAATGCCCTGAACTGACAATCCCGAAGAAGTATTCCGACTACTGGAACAACGCCCTGCCAAACGACACCACTTTTGTAGCCCAGCTACTGGCTGTGCTGGCTGCAGGCAGTTCTTTCTATGTTCCATCGGGCCGCGAAGATCAAGAGACCTACCAAAAGCCGGCTGTGAAGTGGATAATGGCGGTACAGTCGTATATTTCATGTACATCTGTCAGCCCTGAAATCAACCTGCGAATGATTCAAACCCAGTGTCTTCTCTTGGTGGCCCGTCTGGCAGTCGCCAGCGACAGCGACATAGCCTGGGCCTCGTCGGGTTGGCTGATCCGCTCCGCCATGACGATGGGCTTGCACCGAGACCCGACCCGCTTTCGCAAAATTAGGCCGTTCCACCGTGAAATGCGACGCCGACTGTGGGCAACCATTGTGGAATTGGAGCTCAAACTCTCCTTGGACGGAGGGTTTTCGCCATCTATCGACTTGGACGAGTGTGACTGCCCCCCGCCGTCGAACTGGGAGGATGAAAAATTGACTCCAGACATGGAGAACAACCCATCTCCGTCTAGCTTGACGGACTATACTCAAAACCTCTACCAGGTCCTTCTCTCGAAGTCCTTACCCTTGCGGCATCGGATTGTCAAGACAATCAATAGCCTTAGGTTTGAGTTATCCTACGACGAGGCATTGGGACTGGGCGAAGAGCTCTTGCGATTAGTGCAAAATGCATCGTCTCTCTTTGATGACAATAACTCGAGCATTTCTCCTGGTGAAGTCGGACGGCATCGATTCGCCCAGTCTCTCTACTTGTTCATCATGCGCAAGTCTCTACTTGCTCTTCATCGGCCGTTTTCACTTAGCGTTCTGAGACTGCCAAAATTTTCATACTCACGCAAGATATGCCTTGAAGGATCACTGGAGATGCTATCCCAAATGGCGTTTTCTCCGTCCGAAGCAGCGGGTACTGATGGATCCCCGCGGCTTGCACAACTCGGCACCTCGATGTTCCGTGATGAAATTTTCCATGCGGCCATTACTATCTGTGTGGAGCTCTCATTGCAGGCAGATGAGGTCAACCAGACCTCGTCACTGGAAGGACCAAATTCCAGCGGAGTTTTAGGGCTTATGATTCAATCGCAGCAAGGGGTTATGCTGCAAGCCGTGGAACGCACCGTTGACGCTTTTGCCAGTCGAGTCGGGGCTGGCGGAAAGGGCTGCAAGCCGTATTTCTTCCTGAGTCTGGTTTTGGCATCGGTAAAATCCCGATTGAAGGGGGAGGATCCGTTGTCAAATATGGAAGCCACCTCGATGAAAGTGGTACGGATCTGCCAAACCATGCTGAATGGCACCCCATGGCCTGAAGCTCAGGCAGTTGCTGAGCGTCAGGTGGATAAGGTGAGTTGCCTGCTGCGGGTGGTGCTTTTTCTTGATGCTAATTGTCTACTACAGACACCGACACTCCAAAACCAGATAACCCCGGTCTCGGACATGCCCACTGACCTGGATCCCGCCGTTCTTCTATCAACCGACATGAATGACTTTACGGTATGAACCCCTCCAGTTGTTTTCCATTTCCATGCTAATTGGAACGCAGCCGATGGACTTGGGAGGCTGGTTTGATAGCCTTGATTACGGCGGCCCGGAGGTCTGGGACTATGACTTATTTGACAGTCTGCCGCCGATTTGATGACGGCTCATTTGGACGTGAATTAGTATTGAGATACCCTTTGTTTCAAATTAGCGGAACTAAGTCACTGCTTCGAAATAAAAGCTATCTTCTCTGGCAACTGCCTCGAATGTCCGATTTAGATTTGACTGACCTGTGTCAGTCCTAATCTCAGCCTGTCCCGCAAACATTTGAATACTCCTTTGCAGAGCGATCCAGCAGATCCACTGTAGAATCCACCTTCTTGACATTTGAAAGTATAGGCAGACGCTTATGCGCGCGGTCCTCACCAGCATCCAGTTGAAAAGAACCTAGCTGCAGCGGGGTAGGGTGCACACAGCGCGAGCCTTTTTTGGAAACGGCGCAGAGCATGCTGAGCAGGTGCTGTCAGGTGATGACCATGAACATGAACCGGGCTGATCCCTTAGTGCAGACCGTGCAGCATAGTTCCTTCGTGACCTGCTGGTTGGTTTGTTAGACTGTGGCCAGGCTTGAGTCTAAACCAAGATTATCAAGGCCAAAAAACTCTGCGATGTCAGAGATCCATGATGTATAATAACAATAATAATGTGGAGATGGAAGAACTGCCGTTCAACATAATATTGAACTAAAACCCAAGGGATCGACACCCATGATCTCATCATGTTTCCCCTTCCTCGGCCTCGGTCTCCACGTGCGACGATCCGCTATTGTACATAAAAGCGACCTGCCCGAGGTATGCAATCGCAATATTCCTCTCGGGACAGATCACTTCATTGCAATATGTCGTACGCTTTATCAAATATCAGCTCATAGTCGCCTTTGCTGACGCTCATAGGAACATTTTGACTGCCCTCGGCCTCGCCGCCGCCCCTGGCCAGACACCGCCGAACCACGCTTCAACGCTGCTGCTGGCCAACTGGGCGCTTGCATACGTCCTGATGAGCACGCGTGCCCAGAAGTTCTTCTACGGGCTGGATCACAATGTGATGCCGCGTGATGACCTCTCTAAATACGGCGAGGCCGCCGTACAGGCTGGCAAGCTGGACCGGCGCACTCTCAACAAGCTCAAGCGTCAGGAGGCAGCGCATGCCAACGCGCAAGAAGGATATCCATTTTTTGTGGCAGCGAGTACGTCTCTTTTGTTGGGAATCATTGACTTTTGCCACTGACAATTGTAGTTCTTGTCTCCCTTTATGCCGGGGTAGACAATAAGACCATCAACACTATCGGTGTCTGGTACACAGCGTCGCGGCTGGCCTTCAGCCTGCTGTACTCGTACATAGAGACCAGTCCAGCAAGCTACCTGCGCTCCGTGGCTTGGTGGTCCGGCAACATCAGCTGCATCACTGGGCTGGTACTTGCTGGCAAGAAGCTGTAGAAACGTGAGGGACCACATCAACCAACTGGAGATGACTTACCACAGGTATTTCGTGGTCACTTGATCTGGCATATAGAGTTATTTCAATGCAAAAAACTACAAAATAAAATGACCCAACAGCCCCATGGATGACCTGATCTGACTGTATTGATTGGTGGAAGATCCCATTCCTCCGATGGTGGAATCTACCCCGGCTGCAGATACTAAGCGATGAAGCAAGGAAAAGTCACTATCATTGCATCGCCTTCATTCAAGTCCTAGTTAAAGAAATCCCCAATCTGACTAAAGGAAAATATTTCGTCGAAAGACATGGGAAGCATGAACTGAGGATCTAGCGCGTGATCCGGAGGTAATGCGGACGGCTGCACGGCTTCTTGTCTTCGACGATGAACGTCTTTCATCAAGTTGACACGGCTATAGACCTTGCTGAAGACTTCAAGCATTCCTTGTTGGTTTTGCCCTTGTTTATTTTCATATAGTGGTTGAGCTTCTTGGAGTTTTCTTACGAGCTCGTCGCAGGTCTCATAGTAGTCGATGGTATTCCGGACATACTCTTGATCCCAGCCGCCATGATCATTCCGGTAAAGCGAAAGACGAGACAGAACAACGATGGCGTGGCCAAATTGGGCCCAGACGGTGTAGGGAATTATTGGGAAAAGGCCTGCTGGAAGGGAGTAGAGACTGTTAAAAAAGGACTTTGTTGCCTTTAAGCAGGAGAGAAGAAGATCCAACTGAGTCAAAAACTGATCTCCATAGGGGTGGGATGGTTCGGCGATGATTGAAATTTTGTAAAGAAGAACCTCCACAGTATGATAGTGGAGTAGAAGAATGGCTGCTCGGATATTAGCGTGGATATCCCGATGAAAATAACGGCGTAAACATACCAGACTGCGGAGTTTCTGGTGGAAAGGAAGCTTTCAGACATTGAAGCTCTGCCTGGAACCATCGAACACTCAATTTTAACGGTGACGACAGGCTTCCGCCGTGAAGATCATTGGACAAAATTGTGCCATCAATTTTATCCGCGAAACGGAACAATCGGACCAAATGGACAAGAAAATTGTCACTACTATACTCCACGGCTTCTTCAATAGCACGGCAACACTCGTCGGTGTAATTGGTCCAACGGACTGGTTCTATACTGCGGACACAGCTCGAAAACCTTTTTAAGAGTCAACCAAAAGTCTCAAATAATGATGAACATAGACGTACAGTGATGTCAGATAGTAGCAGCCTAGATAGACACGTCTCTCTTCTAAAGTCCGAGAAGTCGGGTTATTGTTAGCCCCAAGTTCTTTCAGGAAATTCATGGGTTGTCGTGAATTCTGGGGCTGATTCAATTCCAAGCTGGTCAACTGCCCCAGAGCCAAGTGCACCAGCATGTCTATTTGCGCGATACCTTGAAGATAAACATGATGCCTTAGTCAAATAGTCAGACCTTGGTTAACCAACGAGACATATGACTTGACGAACCAAGCGACATGGACCACAAGCCCTTGGAGAAGATCCAAGCTGCTTTCCACATTCGTGACAATATGCTCAGCTAGATACTTTCTCCCAGACTTCGCCATTTCTCGTTGCCGAGTACCATTTTTGCAAGCGACCATTGTAATGGTTCGGTAAAGGAATGGTTTTTCTTGATATAGCGCTTCTGGTGTGGTTCCAGGTGGGATCACAACGAAAGGAAACAGAGGAACCATTTGATTTAAGTAAACTTCCATTGATCTTGCCCCTTCTTCGAAGTTTGGGACAACAATTAGTTCGTCTGCTGGTGCTAACTGCGGTTCCCTTGGCAGGTCATCGGATCTGTCGTGGGGACTGGACCGGTGGGATGCTGATAACATGGAAACCATGCAATCAAGCTTTTGTTCCAGAGCAACTACTTGTCTGGACAGTTGTCAGAACTTGTATGCCTGTGTTTTGTCCTCGGCATAACTCACAAGTTGGTACTTGGATCGCGGCGCCGATATGTCTTCGCTCGTTGAAGGGCGCACTCTTTGTTCAATCGGCGGCATCTGGTAGTTGATAAATATTTATCTGCAATGTTCATACAAGAAGCCCAACCGTTTACAAATACCGCTTGCTTCGGGCTCGCATCGCACTTTGGCCTTTGCGCATGTTCGGCAGGCCTTCGCACGGGACCCCGCTATGTCGTCCATGTCGGGCCTCTCCACTTCGACCGTGCAAAGAAAGTATGGAAGGAAAATCACAAAGGGGAGTTGCACTGGTCTCAAAGGCGCAGTAGTGAATAGTCGTCGTTGGCAAAGACCGAAACGGTGGATTCGGTGTCCATGTCAGAGCCGAACGGGAACGGAACTCCGCTTCTCCGTCTGTTGCTCTCTGTTGGTGCTTGGCGATCCGTCTAGAGCGATCCGTCCGTTGTACGTCCGTTTGTCCGTCCAGGTGGTCGGACACGAAGAGTGGACGAGAAAGTCGAAATTTCGAAAATAAGAAGAGAGCAGGGAGGAGGAGATTATCGTTGACGAGGGGAAGTTGTTCAGACGTAGGAACGTATGCCTAAGGTAGAAATATAGAGAGCGCGTCTCGTCTGGACAATACATAATTCTAGGTGGAGGCTGAACCAAGCCTTTACTAGTCAATAGAAATTATTTAGTCCGAATCTCACACTCCAGAGGCCATTAGCATGTCGCGCTTACAATCTTTCAAAAGGACAAACGGGCGCGCGGCCGACCCCTCCGTCCGCCTATTCCGTTCGACAGTATAAAACGCGACCCATCCACAGCAGATATTTTCCTGTTTAATCTCAAAACCCTAGCATATTGTCCACATAATATTTATCAATTAACTGAAAATCAGCCCTCCAACGACTAGAGACTTGGAACTATGGCCTCGTCCAACACCCAACAAACCCCGATACCCAACCGCGGCGCCGACTGGGGAACACGATTCCCGAGAGATATAAACCATCGGGAATATCTGTTCTAATTGTAGGCGCTGGGGTAGCCGGCCTGATGGCTGCTCTAGAGTGCTGGCGCCAGGGACATGAAGTTCGAATCATTGAGAAATCATCCTCACGACTTTTATCCGGTAAGCAAGTCAGGGATTGGTATATTTGTTAAATCTAACAAGAAGCCTCTTTAGGCGATGGATTCACCATCGGTTCCACCGCCATCCATGCATTGCGGCACTGGCCGGACATTGTCGAAGAAAACGAGAGGATCGCACGTCATCCATGGGTCTCCTGGCATAGGATCACTGGGGAGAAGATCTCAGGTCCTGCGCCATTTTATGATCCTGCGGAGAAGAAAGACGACACCCAAACCGACGGCGAAGAGGCCCCGCGGACGATCTACAGATATAGCCGTCCGAAATTTCACAAGATGCTGGCCGACCAAGCGGAAAAGCTGGGTATTTTCGTGGAGTATGGCACTCGTGTGGTTGAGTACTATGAGGAACCCATCGCGGACAACGCAGGTGTGGTACTGGAAAATGAAATGAAGATTGAGGCCGACGTGGTCTTTGCTGCCGATGGCATTGGCAGCAAGTCCAGTAGTGCGATAATGGGCCATATGGTTCCCGCTCGCTCAACAGGCTTTGCAATTTATCGCGCTGCGTTTCCAGTTGAACTGGCTGATGCAGACCCGATGGTCCGCCATCGATTTAAGCCATTAAACGATGGCACGCCGGTGGTTGAAGTGTGGATGGGGTGAGTGATGGCCGCTACCCCAGATAATTATCTCTAACCGTCATCGTTTAGGGAGGGAATACGTGCAACATTTGGTAGAAGTGAGGATGAGATGTCATGGACGATAAACTATTCGGTACGTCCAGCCAGTTTCTGCTCCCTGTAAGCCCTAACCTGGCTCTTTAGGATGATGGGGAGGCATCGGAGTCTTGGTCCAACCTGGTTGACCCAGAGATTGTTCTCCAAAAAACCGCAAATATCCCTGGGTGGCCGGAAGTCGGGAACAGACTCATTCAATTGACACCCAAGGAACGGCTCCACGACTTTAAGCTGATGTGGCGGGAGCCCCAGCCCTGTTGGGTCTCACCCGGCGGGCGAGTCATCCAGATTGGGGACGCCGCACACTCATTTCTGCCCTCGTCTGGGAACGGCGCGACCCAAGGCATGGAAGATGCCATCTCGCTAGCGACTTGTCTGCGACTAGCGCAGAAGAACGATCTGTGTTGGGCAACCCGCGTACATAACAAGCTACGGTAAGAACAGATTTACTTGTGTCTTGTAGCGACTGACTGTTCCCCTAGATTCGAGCGGGTATCTTGTCTGCAGTTGTTGGGAATCCTCAACCAGGAAACACGGCACCTGTCTGCCCATGCCAAGGCCAGTACGGCACATACCAAGCCTATCGGGTTGATGGCGGCGTGGATCTGGCGACACAACCCGGAGCGCTATGCCATCGAGAACTACGAGGCGGCACGGACACACCTGGAAGATGGGAAGCCGTTCCAGAACAGCAATATCCCACCAGGTCATGTGTATCAGCCATGGACCATTGATGAAATGCTGCGGGTAATCGCTGCAGGCGAGCTCCACCTGGACGGAGACTGGGAATGAATGGGTCCATTGGATCTGGGGTAGATATTTTGTGGGGATTTTTTTGATATGAAATGACAGAGCCGGCCTGGGAATCAAATTTAGAACCATAATTTCAGAAGCGCCACCTCTGACTAGTCAGGCAATGTAAGCCGAGTCTGAGCTCAATTCGGCCCAGCGGAGTCGGTACCCTTGCCCCCTGTCGCGCCACGCGTGGAGACCCAAACAAGCCTTAGCCACAGGATAAGCGGTTGTCGGCTGCGAGGGAGCCAACTTAACTAACGTCAACGAGTGAGAGCATGTCGGAATAGTTGTAACAAACTCAAGCCTGCCAGAACCACCAAACAAACAAAGAAAGAAAGAAAATGTGGTTATCATGCATCGGCCCGGGCCTGGTGATTGGCCTGCCCTAGTACATACTACCGTAGTGTCCCCACACCCCACAATGGCCCGGCAGAAACAATACCCGCGGGTTATCCTGTTTTGTTTAGTTGTTGCACGAGTTGAGCTGTCCGGGGGTGGCGCGAAAGAGGAGGTAGAGATCATCCTCGACAGTACGGGGTAGTTATACAGTAGTAGTTAGTCTAGAGCAGAATGCAGGGGTCGCTGTTATAAGTACGGACTCACCGGCCGTGCTGTTGTTACCTCCCTTTTTTCTATTCCTCCATCCTTGCTTCACTTCTCATTCCCACGCCTCTCTCACCTTCTTTATGATGGAGAAAACAGATACTCAGCATCAACACGTCGAAAGCGGACTGACTCCGGGTCCAGAGACCAAGACCAATGAGTTCTATGAGGATCGCCTGGCGCATCTGTCGGAGGAGCATCGCCAGTATCTCCTGGCCCGGCATGGAACCCTGGACCTGGATCCCATCCCGGACATGAACGATGCTGATCCGTACAATTGGCCCCGGTGGAAGGTACGAACCCCTTTGGATATGAAAAACAAACGAACAACAATAGCTAAATTCCTACTTTATAGAAACATATCAACCTCAGCCTAGTCGCCTTCCACGCTATGATCGCCACATTCACCGCCGCCTCGATCCAATGCGCGTTTCTCAATATCTCTAAAGACCTGCACCAAAGCATGCAGCGTACCAGCTACCTGACCTCCCTGTTCATCGCAGTCCTCGGTGGCGCGCCCTTGTTCTGGCGTCCGCTGTGCAACCGATTCGGTCGTCGGCCGATCTTTCTGCTCTCGCTGATCTGTAGTCTGGTTGGGAATATCGGGTGTGCGAAGAGCCCGACGTACGGGACCATGGGTCTCTGCCGTGCCATTACTGCGTTCTTCATCAGTCCTGCCGCTGCTATTGGTAGCGCCGTGGTGGCTGAGACTTTCTTCAAAAAGGATCGCGCGCGTTGCATGGGTGTCTGGACGCTGCTGGTCACGCTGGGTGTGCCCTCGGCGCCGTTTATTTTTGGATTTGCCGCGCAGCGTGTCGGATACCGCTGGATCTACTGGGCTCTTGCCATCTGCAACGGTGTACAGTTCTTCCTTTACCTCATCCTCGGCCCGGAGTCGCTGTACGTCCGCAAGGAGAACGGCGCCCACAATGTGTCCAGCGTCAAGGAGTCAATGTTCAAGTTCGGTCGTATTGACCCGGCCCCTCTCCGATTCTGGGACTTCATCCAGCCGCTCAGCTATTTCGCGAAGCCCTGCGTGTTTATCCCGGCCGCGGCCTACGCCATGATTTTCCTGTGGGGCAGCGTGATGATCACTATTGAGATCCCACAGCTCTTCCCCGAGATGTACGGGCTGGACACGCAGCAGGTTGGTCTGACCTTCCTGGGGGTGATCATTGGGTCGGTGATTGGCGAGCAGATTGGCGGGTTCATCTCGGACCGGTGGATGTCGATGCGTCGCAAGCGCATCGGCCAACCCCCGAAGCCAGAATTTCGCTTATGGTTGACCTATATCGGCTATGTCCTGACTATCGTTGGTATTGTGGTCTTCTGTATCCAGCTGCGTGACTCGGGTCCTAAATGGAATGTCACGCCGATTATCGGCACGGCTGTTGCTGCTGCTGGTAACCAGATCGTCACGACCATCAATATCACCTATGCGGTCGACTGCTACCGTGAAGACGCTGCCAGTGTGGGTGTTTTCATCACCTTTGTGAGACAGATGTGGGGATTTATTGGTCCATTCTGGTATGACCCTTGCCAACCGTTGATTAATTGATCAAATGTTAACACGTCCACAGGTTCCCTCAGATGTTTGCCAACGCCGGCTGGGCCGGTGGTGCTGGCATTGCCACGGCCCTGATGGTGGGCATCAGTGTTATTCCGACCATGGTGGTGCACTGGTGCGGGCCGAAGTGGCGTTGAGAAATTGGGCCCGTAGAACATTAATTTGCGTCTATATAATCAAGCCCACAATGTACGCTTTTTGTTTGTGAAGTCCATGCCATCTCGTAGCGGTATTCAAATCCACGTTTACATTCGCATCAACTGTATATCCGAAAGCAGCGTAAGAGTAGTCACTCTTCAATATAAGTCTACATCCTGCAAAGCATGGAGCAAATACAAAACGCATGTCATTAACTATCATTACGGTTCAGGGACATACTGAAGTCATCACGGCACAAGACCATATCATCACCATTCTACCATCCTTCCACCCTCCGCATCCGCAAATGCATCCCCTCAACAGGCTTAGTAGTAACAGCGCCTGCAATATGAATCTCCTGCTTCGGATCCTGCATCTCAAAAGCGAACCGACCAACTATACCCGCAACCGCGCAGCGCAGCTCGGCGCGCGCAAAGTCCTTGCCGATACAGGAACGCTGGCCGTGCAGAAACGTAATCTGCGCGAAGTTGGTGGATGCACCGCCTGTATGGTTGACGACGGGCGCGCCGGTCTTGTCGGTGTCAATCCATCGCTCCGGCACGAACTCTTCGCCGTTGCTGCCCCAGAACTCCGGGCAGCGGTTGATTGCATAGGGACAGATCACGATTCGTGTTCCTCGTGGTACGTGGATGCCTGCCACTGTTGTGTCGCGTATCGATTCGCGGAGCGTTGCTGGAACCGTGGGATATAGACGGAGGACTTCCTGGCATACGCCATTTAGCAAGGGCAGCGACTCCAGGTCACTGTATGTGATTTGGCTGTCCCCAGACGGAATATTAGCCCGGATTTCGGCTCGCAGCTTCTCCTGCGTCTCTGGGTAGAGTGTCAGGAGGTAACAGGCCCAGGTAAGGGCGCTTGCAGTCGTCTCATGCTACAATTTCCATCATTAGCATTTAACATATAAAGTGACGATCAAACTTACGCCTGCTGCCAAGAAGGTCAGCATCTGGTCAACCAGCTCAGTATCAGAAAAGTCGCCGCCCAGCATCATCGTGCCGAGAATGTCGGTCTCCAGATCCTTAGCAGACGCATTGGTAGCCTTGAGAGAGCTGCGTTTCTCGCGCACAATGTCATTGCACATATCCCGCAGGAAGCCTGTCTCATTGGCGACCACATCGTTCAAGCGCCAGGGCACGCGCTGGGCGATCCACTGCGGCAGCGTGAAGTTCATAGCCAGGAAAGCCATCTTCTCCTTGGTGGGTTCGAGGATGGCCAGGAAGCTGTCGGCCACCTTGTTATCTGGGTTCTGCAGCGAGCGGAAATCACGGCCCATCGCCGCAGGGCCGATGATATCCAGCGTCAAGCGGCTACCCCAAACGCACATCTCGATCTTGCCGACGCCATCGGCTGGATTGGTGCCCTCCATCGGACACGCCTGTATCTCCTTCTCCAATTCGACCAGGAGCTGGTTAGTCTTGTCCCACATCAGCGTGTACATGGCGCGGATGTTTTTGATATTAAAGGCTGGAGTGAGTGCTTTCCGTTGTTTCCTGTGCGCTGCACCCTCGGATAGGATCAGGCCAAATCCGAGGATACGAGCCAGGAAGTTGCGCGCACGCCACGGCTTCTCAAAGTCATACGTGTTGGTGCTCATGATGTCCAGCAGAGCCTGGTGGTTGGTTGGCAGCAGGTAACTCTGGCTGATGGTGTCACGCATGTGGATCAGACCATCATTGGGAATGGTCTTCATCCATTGCAGCGGCAGGCGGCCCCGCGGAGAATCGAAGATAATGGAAGCATGGTTCATTAAGCCCTACTCAGAGATTAGACATATTGACAGCAATTTTGGGAATGACCCATACCGGAACCCGGGGTAGATGTCGCAGCGGGTTGAAGAAGAACGGCCAGATGACCATGCCCCAGATGGCGCGGAGCAAGAAGTTCACGCCCAGGGCACCGAGACAGACAGTTCGGAAGGTCTCATCAGGGAACGCAGCGCGTTGCAGGAAATATCCCTCGGCAACCGAGAAGGCCGCCAGGGCCAGAAGGGTTTCACCAAGCGCCATAGTTAGTTAGCTGTCGTGGATGAGGATAGCTAGAACCGAGGGCAAGAGGCTATTTTTGATGTCGAACTCATCATTTAGGGCTCCACCCAGCGATCGGCACTCTCCATCCTGTTGGGGAACGCCACCGACCGAGGTGTTTTCAAATGTGATCGCTTCGCTTCGCTTCTGCCTGTGGTGAGAATAGGGAAGATAGAAAATGAATGTGACAATTAGTATGTCATGCTTGTCCATGCGGTGTGGACTTGCCTAGATGGTGATGGTGGTGGTGGTCGTCGGTGGTGCCTAGACGGATGGATTACTGATCAGCGTGAACATGATTGCAGCCCCGCTAGACTCACCCCGCGGGGGAGAACAATTATGCCATCATCGAAATTCACAAGATCATCATGGGGGAACATGTGAAGCTTGGCCATCTCGCACAGCTTGCCTATTTAGGAATGTTGGTGCCTGAGGCCTGACAACAATGCCGTAATTCGGTAGACAGTAGACAGTAGTAATTTGGGGCGAAGAAATGTAATCAGATAATTATTGATCATTCATCATGGTTGTCATAACATATACATTCATTCGACAAAGCATATACTCCTGGCTATACACAGTAATATTTACAATCCTCCCGTTCTCTACTGCAGCAGCTCTTTCAGCCATGACTTGACCTTCTTTCCTTGCTCCGTCTCCGTATTGTCGCCCAAGTACAGATTATAAACAGGCGCAACATGGCCCTCACGGTGGCCAATAAACAGTTCCACAGACGGGAAGCCCTCCTTGAACTTGGCGGCAAAGTCCTGGATAATGGGCAGGAGAATCTCATTGCCACCGCCGGTGATCAGGACAGTGTTGACGGGGAACGACTCGAACCAGTCCGCTGGCGCAGTGGACAGATCCGTGTAGTAATCCCGCGTCGCTTTGCCCAAGTACGCACACGACCATGGTGCCGCCACGCTCTGCGTGATCAGGTCACCACCCGAGTAAATTTCCTGGTCCGGGAATTCGGTGTCCAGCAGCGTCCATGGAGCGATCATGGCGGCACCACCCAGATTGCCCGACAAAGACAGTGGCGCAATCTGGGGGTGTGGGTGGGCGATGTGCGACAGCACGCCGCCGACAAGGTTCCCGCCGGCCGAGTCGCCCCCCAGAAAGACCGTGCTGGGGTCACGGTTAGGCTGCGACACGATGTAGCGCACACACTCCACGGCCTGCCGCAGCTGCGTCGGGTAGGTGCCATGCGGGGACAGGGTATAGGTCAAGCTGAAGACGGCGACGCGCTTGCCGGAGCGCTCGAGCTCGCGAATGACGTTGGAGTAGAACTTGAAGTAACCCATGTTAGCGGGCAGCGCAAATCCACCCCCTGAGCAAGGTCAGTGACGAACGTTGGTTTTTCTGTTTAGAGGAAATAGCACTCACCATGGAACCACACCAGGACATTCGTGGCTTTTTTGTCCCCAACCCAGTGGCCCAGGGCACCGTGTCCCAGTTCCACCGATTCAGGCACGCAACCTGATTTCTTCGCAAACCGATTATAGATCTTGTCGGAGGTTGGCGAGACGAACTGAATCTGGCTGGGTGACATGCGCGAGGTGACCTTGCGGAGGATGGCGTAGCCCAAATGCAGGAACAGACTCTTGGCCTGGCGCTCAGAGCGCCAGAGACCCGTCAGGAGCGCATAGAAGGCGGCCAAACTCACGGAGACCAGCGCGGGCAGAAAGTCGAGCTTCTCCGCAAGGGAGAGCTTTACCTGGGGATTGAACAGCATGATGGATGGAGTTGGGAAGACCAAGCCGGCATCGTGACTCCTGATAAAGTGGCAGTTGAGTTTATCGCGTGCTGTTGAACCTCGGCCAGCGAAAATGAAAAGGGCGTCGATCCCTTGTCGCAGAGCTATCCATTTGCGGTATCGACCCTTTTTTTTTGTTGGGCCGAGGTCGTGGTGGAGACTCGCCCCTCGGTTGGAGACGAGGACATTTTATGAACCATAGTAGTAGGATGACAGTGAAAAATGAACTAGAATAGAGATATGGACAGCAATAGAAGTAATTATGAACTATGTAAATGTATAGAAGTATACGAGTAGAATCGGAGGGTTGGTTCAATCGAGAGCCACGAGGCCAGCACATGCGGCCAGATCTGTGCGACACCAATGAGTTAGGGCAATCATCACGGACGGATGAATGCATCTCCCCGAACCCCCCCTTCCGCTCGGAGAACAATCCATTACTAGGACCTTTAAGTCAGCACGATAATAATAAGTGCTTATGATACACCCTACACGCAGAGCCCCCCCGTGGCGATCCACCGCTGATCCTTACGATCTGGGGTGAAACCGAGGCATGTGAAGCGCCTCAAACATGGCGACCTTTAAAACTGCCCCGAATCCACCTGCACTGGTCACAATTTAACCACCTCCAAAAGAAAAAATGAACGGACACGCCAACGCCGAGTCCGCACGCGACTTCGATGTGATCGTCGTCGGTGCAGGCATCTCGGGCATCAACGCGGCCTACCGCATCCAGAGCGAGCTGCCCGGCAAGAGCTATGCCATCCTCGAGGCTCGTGATGACCTGGGCGGCACTTGGGACCTGTTCAAGTACCCGGGCATTCGCTCCGACTCTGATCTCTTCACCTTCGGCTTCGCCTGGAATCCCTGGAATACCGACAACCCGATTGCGGAGGGCGCCGACATCAAGAAATATCTGCGCAGCACCGCGCATAAGTTTGGCATTGACTCCCACATCCACTACCGCCATCGCCTCCTCGGTTCGGAATGGTCCTCCGCCGATAACACCTGGTCGCTGTCCGTCGACCACGATGGTGAGGCCAAAACTTACACCGCGCGCTTTCTCATCTTCGGCACCGGGTACTACGACTACAAGGAGCCGCTGAAGGCGCAAATCCCTGGCCTCGATAACTTCCAGGGCCAGATCATCCACCCACAGTTCTGGCCCGAGGATCTGAACTACAAAAACAAAAAAGTG